CACCTTTTCACATTTATCCCCAAAATCAGTCTCGGATCATCAAGCTCAAATCCCATTTGATTAACTGGTTTGTAATAGGTCATGGTCCCTTCCCCACATACTTCTTTCAGAGCAACTTTGCCCTCTCAGATGACTCTACACGTGGTGAAGGAAGGAATCCGACACATTATTTCACACGCATTCCATTGACAAACAAATGGCATATTAAACTCCTTGAAAATAATATATGGTCTTAGCATGCACTCAAGACGAAAGAATTAATGAGAAAAATCGAGACAATAATATCCTTCCTATTTAAGAGAGAAGTCAATCTCTGCAGAGTATTCTGAATTAAGCGGAGAATATCATCCCTCCTGCTAACAAGCTGAAACTACACCAGAAAGGTGAAATTTGCTAGATTTCTTCTTAAACAACAAGTACAGCTAACCGTAAACGTCAGGTGACTGCAGAACACTGGGAACTTAAAGCAGCTAGCAGTATATATTCAAGCTTCATATAAGGAATTATGTGTTCCTTCGTAATAATATGTAGAACTTCTATAAGCTCAGTAACTTGTCTAAATACGTGAAGCAAATCAGTATAAAATGTATTGTACATAGATCAAATTAATGCCAATAATAGCATACATAGTTTATTTAAATGTAGTATCCTGTGACTAATAAGCTTCCGTAAAATTTCCGGGTGCATGTCCTTGTAAAATAATATCGGAGATAGCATCTGAATTTGTATGAGCCTGGGACACCAGCTGCGAGTAAATAATTGGAAGCAGTACAACAGCCTTCAGACTTACCTCAACTGAACATATCTTCCAAAGTGAAAATGCATAAGGCACTGTATCATTAGGGGGTTCCAACCTTTTATCTAACAGCTAAGTATGTAGGAATCTCGTCAACAGGTAAGCGAATAATCGCTTTAATTCAGAAACAGAAACGTAAAATCAAGAAGGGTTAATTACTCTTTATTTCTCAAAATAAGAACTTACAGTCGGCTCCTTCTCACACCGTACAGCAAAGCCTCCACTTGGGCTTGAACTCAAAATAATAAGAAGTAAAACTTAACTAATGCTTAACTAAAAAGACATAGCCGAAGCTATCAAGATTTCTAAATAGTTGGCCTCTAAATATCAAATAAGTTGGCAAAGCTATCAAGGGCCTGAAGTACGGCCGAGCGTAGTAATAGCTTAGAAAGAGAAAGGCGAACCCGCGCTAGTCAGAAACTCTGGCTCTTTAACGAAGTCAGTGGAACTTCGTCTTAAATACCGCTCTTACTCATTTGTATTAAACGCGATTCTAAAAGCACATTCTGGTAAGAAACTGTAAGCAGAAATTAGAAGGGACAGGAAAGTAGCTTTAGGTAAAGATAACTGTTAAAAACCTTAGGATAAACCTTACATCATTACGCAAACTATCTCACTGTATTATTATTGCACTACTATTTTCTGCTAAATTAATGCGTTTCAGTCAGCTAGTGCAGACGGAGAATACCAACATCACCGATGGGAAAAATTGGGTGTCCTCTGCACTTCAATCTCAACCTGAAGTTAACTAAAATGAAAGTTTATTAATATTAAAGAAATCTTCATCACGATCTCAATTACAGTGATGTGAGAATGGCATTCATTCACATCATCATGTCCTGGACGCATACTTCTGAAAGCTCAGTTCTCATCACTGCTCGTTTTATGCAAATCTTTAGCGTGATTTGCTATGCTGTATCCCGAATATCGCTGAAAAGAATTTTCCAAGAAAGCACGTCACTCGCTTTTTTTCTAGTTACGTAATGCATTTAGGTTTTAATTGAATTCTAAATTTGTGTAAATTGTTAATATGTTCTTATTTCGGGCAAAATGTTACACTTAATCCAGTTAAATATATTAATGGATTTTAAAAATCCCGCAATAATTTAACCAAGAGCAGACTTCAGTACTATTAACATATGCTCTAAAATATATTGTGAATTATATTGTATCTATGAATATACATATAGCTTTAGACTTTCAAGATCTTACTTTATTTTCATTTAAATTTTCGTGTTTTTCGAATAGTACACTTTATCTGTACGCTTATAGACCATAAAAAATACATAGGTTGGCTTTCAAATATAAGGCACATGAAATCAAATCCAATGTAATATTTAAAATTCTGCATATATTTACTACTCATTTTACATGAAAATAATTAAATGAGTTATTTCTAAGTATTGTAATACAAAATATTGCATTAAAAATTTTTGGAAGTTTCAGATGCTTACTTCTCACATAGTACAATCCTAAAAAACTCATGTAAAAGTAAATATGTAATGCAAACTTTTAGTTTACTCATTTTGAAACTTATAGAAGCTTCACATCTGTGAGCCATCTCTTCAATCAGCCAGTCCAAAGCAGCAGAGGGCAATGATTACAATTCTAATAAAAGGATACTGAAGAAATAGTGGGAGGGAACAACAAAAGACAGTATTTCCAAAGACCGTCTTAAAAATTTCCGAGCGGATTTGTATCACCAGGATACTAACCATAGCATCCATTCAATAGTGTAGCTATCACGGTAGTACTCCACAATCTACTGTTCATATGAACGAGAGATGTCATTGCTTAGTAAAATTCTGGACCAACTAGACATTTTTAATACCTCATAATAAACCAATTGCAAAATTTCTTCCTTCAGTATACATGAAATGGTGTCTTCCAAAATAAAAATGATTTGTGAAATGAAATTTCATAGTATTGTACTCACTGCAGTTCTGTATACAGATTTCTTTTTAACTTTATTTAAATGATAATATATATTAAGTTTTCTAATAACGATAACATACACTGCTGGCCACCCAAATTGCAACACCAAGAAAGACAAAAGATATCACAACAAAATTTATTTAGTAGATAACATGTTGACCAAGTATCAAATGCTTAAATTTATAGACTTCTGTGAAGCGTGGTTCCTTCCAGAATCAGTAGCCAGAGTAGCCGCCATTGTTGAAGATCACCACTGCCACACGCCTCGGCATTGATTCAAAGAGACTTTGGATGTGTTCTTGGGGTACAGCAGACCAAGCAGTTTCCCCACGTTGCCAATGTTGATCTGGTGTGGCAGCTTGGGATGTAATCTGGGTCAATCGTTCAGCAACCATGGAACACATGTTTCCTATCGGTGAGAGATCCGGACAGGAAAGCAGTTCAATCTGGCAATTGATGAAGAAACCTTGGACAATGCGTGCCACGTGTGGTCGCTCATTATCCTGTTGAAATATGGCTGTGGGCAAGCCCGGAAGGTAAGGAAGGACAAGTGGCTCCAACACCTCGGAGATGTAGCGATGGATGTTTAAAGTACCGGCAATACGTATTAGAGGAGTGCGAGAGTGATATCCGATATCGCCCCATACCATAGTACCCGGTGCAGGACCAGTGTGGCGGTGCATAACGCAGCTGTTCAGCATCCTCTCTCCACGGTGTCTCCAGACTCGAATCCGACCATCGTGGTGTTGCAGACAGAAGCGTGACTCGTCAGTAATGACAATTTCATTTCATTCTGCCGTCCACATCCTTCTTTCATCGCACCATTGCCGGCGGAGACATCTGTGGTTCTGCGTCAAGGGTAGACGAAGCAATGGACGTCTTGCGGACAGACCACTCTGCTGTAAACGGTGTCGAATAGTACGCGCAGATACTGGATGATGCGTTACAGACTGAATGTGCTGTGCTATGGTTCGTGATGTGACTGAGCGATCCGTCACTGCCATGCGCACAATATTCCTGTCATCACGTGAAATGGTACACTGAGGTGGATGCGATCGAACACGTCGGTCCGTCGTACCATTCTGCATCCAACGGTCACATATCCGCATTACAGTTGTTTGGTTTCGTCCAACACGACTACCAATTTCCTTGAAAGGTAATCCACACTCTCGGTAGGCCACTATCCTTCCTCTATCGAATTCAGATACTTGATCAAACGGTGATCGCTGTTTACTACGATGCATAATTGATCGTTTTTTTTTTTTTTTTTTTTTTTTTTGAAAAAACCACAAGAAAAACACAACTGCCGAACTTGAAATCGTCGAAAACTCCAAGCATTAAATTGCACTTTGAAGTGGCGCAACAGACGCGCGCTGATGTGCGTCTGCTCTGAAATTCTAATCATTTGCATATCTCACTTCCGCTAATGCCTGTTGAAAATTTCATGCTATTTGCATGCTTCCTTCAGGGTGTTGCATTTATGGTGGCCAGCATAAATGCAATAATAGTGTAATTATCAGTATGGTATAGAAAATCTGCGGGCCCCTGTAGTGATCGTAATGTGGGTCTTTAAGTATGATATAAGAAAATAAGAAATAAAAATCAAGTTGATAATTAATCATTAGCAAGTAACGCATACTTGTTGAAAATTTAAAAAGTGTTCTTTTTAACAAACATTAGAATTTGGTGGCCCAAATTTAAACTGGCTCAAACATAAACTGGATATACATAATAACTTGACGCATTTAACTATAAAAAGCAAATTTTAAGCAGTGCATACAATTCTTACGAAACTAATGTTTCTACCTGTAACTATTTTAACTTGTATTTTTAAGTTTATTTTTATTTGTTAATTATTTAACTTATGAGCTTTGCACATGAAAGGTCCGAAGCAAGCTTCTGCAGGTTTTATTAAAAAAAAAGTGCTCGATATGTACGCTTTGAAAGAACCGGAACTGGGAGTTTGTATTGGTTCTCCCTATTACTCTACGACTCTGATAATAATTAGTATACTGTGCTAAATATACGTGGTACAAACTGTCGTATAATAATGTGCGGTCAACTATAGCATTCCATACAGTTCCGTCTGATGTTCAAGCATTCAAAATTGTTAGAAATTTATGCGATTTTAAATGCAACGTCACATTAGGAATCTTAGTATTATAGAACTTGTGCGTTTTAGTATTAAGAAATAGGTATCAGTTTGATAATTTGATATATCAATTTGAGTATGACCTTTCTCCCACTTTTAACTTTATTTTCTTTTTAGGAAGCAAACAGCAGTAATATCACGAAGCTTCATGATATGAAGAACGTGAAGGATAAAACTGTTCTCCAGAACTGCCCGTGTAAGACGCTGCCTGTGAGAAAAGGTACGTTGTGGAGTTCTGCAGATCCCTCCTTCGTTTCCTATGGACACCTGCAAAGAATTCGAGATTGGGCTCAAGCTATCGATAAAGCATCACGGTTTCTTTTTCCCTTAGCCTTTCTACTTTTCAACGCATTCTACTGGCCAATTCTTTTGAGTAGATGAATATTTTATGTTCTCATATTAAACGATTCAATTATTGTATCACTTTATAAAATTATTACTTCTTATGCAATGTAAAGCATTTGTAATCCTTTGTAATTAAATCTAAAAATTAAAAGCTGGAAAAAATTAGAAGCATTTTGAAATTTTCGTCTGAAATTCTTTTGCATAGTACCTATTACTGTTAACTCAAAGTTAATTTACGCTATTATGCACACTACTAAATGTTTTATTGAATTTGTGTCAGGGATTTTTCCGATCTTTTGACAATAATTACAATTCAAATTTCTAGGTGCTTTTCCATGTGAAAGAGTTCAGAGTTCTACGTTTTAAAATAAGAAAGTTTCTTAGAGATACAGCAGGTTTCTTGGCTTCTAACTTCTTTCATAATTTAAACGTTGATCAGTTCAGAATTACAAAATCTTCAACACTATGCGTTAAATAACTGCTTACAAGAAAAATGCGTGGCCACTAATTGGACTAAATGAAAATACAGTATTAATTTATTACAAAAAAATGTTCCTAATATAAAGAAATAACTCAAAAAAGTAATCAAATAAACATAAATGCTTTGAAAAATTTACAGCAATATTTATGATATACATTTAAAAAGTTCCTTCTGCCCTCAAGAATGTAACTTTTTTCTGGCATCAGCCCGCAAGTTTTTAAGAAACTGATACCACTAAACTAAAAAAGGCAGCTCGCTCTATATTCCAGTTTCGACACTTGAATGTATTAACTTTTCGAGCTTTTACTTTTGCGTAACATAAATACAGGACTATTTCCCTTAAAAAATCATGAGCAAAGGCATCCCTTCCGACAAAGAGAAGATAGCCCTAATTTATTTTTCCATAATTTAATAATCCATTCCGATGTCTCTCTCCAGTTTACCTGATTATTTTTCTTTTTTCGCTATTTGTGTACAGTGGACATACACTCAGTACTCTGGAATGAGAAAAATCCCGATTCTGAAACTGAAAGACCCATGCGTCGCGGATATATTATTCGCCCGCAACCAATGGTAATTAAATCACGAAATTTACCCTTCATGTGACTTTTAGAATTTCCGAGATAGGGCTACGTTTTCAGCTATACACCTCACCGGATTTTCTTTTTATACAGTGGATATGTTTTGCACAATACCGTGTAAAAAGTACTGTATAAAAAAAGTATGCTGAAACAAAAAATATAATGGTGAATAGTTGTTCTTGTATAAAAATTTATTCAGTACTAAAAAATAAATCTTTATTGTTTATTGTAATATAATTTTATTTACAAAAACTAACATTATAAAAATTAGTTTAAAAATAGTAATAAAGATTATTCAATTTTAGACAATAGACGTGTCAGTTTACACACATTTGATTTGACTTCGCTTTCCTTATTTGAGATATTCAGAACTTGTGTTGCCTTTCTTTCCACATTTTTGTTGTATTGAAACAAAAATTTGGGTATCGACCTTTGTGACTATTTTTTTGGTGTGTATGTATGTTATATGTGTGTGAGGTTTTTGCATAATTCTTGGTATCGAGCCATACAAGCGGTCAAATACGCTGAAAAAGTGAACTCATTCTACGTTATGATCAAGTGTTATAAAATTATTTCCAAGTTTATTAGCCAGTTGCAGACGTTCAAGGATTGAATCCGCTCTGATTGGACCTCGTTTATCATCGTAACTACTTTTTTTAGGGCTGGTGTGATCCTCTAAAACAGTTTCGAGTCTTTCTTTCTCATTGAAAACTTCGATAATAGTCAATTCAGCAACATATTCACTCTTAAGCTCTTTAAAGCCTTCTCAACCAATGATATACTCCACACTTATGATAAATGAATTATATTCGCACTAATATGGTTAGTTTTAACTCACGCTGGCCAAATTGGTCTCCAACATGTGTTCAGAGTTGATGACTATAATTCATATAACTGCATACCAACATATTGTACGCAGTCCATAATCAAAATTTTCTTCCCGGCATTCATGATTATAAAGGTTACGTCTCTGTCAAGTGTGTTCAGGGAAGTTCTTTTAATGTAATATATGTAACATATTTCAAGTGTTTCGCAAATAGTTCTTTTAGTGTAACATGACAAACATCTCACTGCGGATTCAGGCAAGATGTTCCTGCAAGCAAGTTATGCCAAATCGCTATAATTGCATTCTCTACGAACTTAATTGCTATCCTCATCACCTTCAGCTTCGCTAATTGCTATAATTGCTGTCACCACTTCATCTGAATGCTCAGCATTCAAATCTCCTGAACTTTATGTTAGCAAAGAAAAAGATATGCTCAGAAATCCATTTCACTTACTATACGCAGGGTAAGACGATACCTGGGAACCTGCATGTGCGACTTCGTCGCTTAATGAGACAAACGCCGCATAAATCCAGCGGCTGAATCAAGGCACTTGTATTGCGTGGTAGGGAAAAACCTTTTCCCATTTGGGTGTTGCAATGTAGGATGCCCAGGTGCATTGCCTGCAGGTAAAAGAATTTCAAACAGGAGACCTATAGCTTCCATATATTTTCGTGCTTCAGGAACGAAATTTGCTGAACCAATCGGAAACATTCCCTCAGCCATCCATGACTTTTTTCGACATCCAGTGTTTTACTGGTAGATTATTCAAGACCATACCTTTCATTGCACGCGAATGATTTGCTGGATTAATTAGTGGAGTTTTCATAAGACGATCTCCATTATAACTGCACATTAAACAATAACAATCAAAGAACGTTAAACGTTGAAAAAGTAGTCTAAGACTGCATAATCGAATAACTACTCTATAAACTGGCTCAAATAATTTTGCCGGCGCATAGATATTGGCTGCGAGAAAGCGGTTTTGATTTGGTTTGGTTTATGTGATTATAGCAAAGCTTCGAGGGTTATCTGCCTAAGGGGAGGGATGCCTTCGTGAAGGGCTTTCTAAGATGAACTGGCTCGTATACACGTTACACAAGTGGAAAACCACGAAAACGCTCATGCAGCCAGCCGGTTCGGCGGAGTCGAACCTCGGATCGAACTACCAGTGCTCAGCCACTTTATTGTTTGGCTGCTGGTGGACCACGAGAAAATGGAAAAGTCGGATTACTGAGTTTTAGATAGAACTGGCGAAATTCCGTGAGTACCTCAAAACTCTCTCTCGCTCAGTTCTGATACGGATTATGAAGTTGCTTATCTAGATGCTGAAGGGGCCTTAATAAGATAGATAACAAAATTAAGCCTCTGAGTGCACATGACTTTGACGAGCTAGCAGGTTAAACTTAAAGAACGGTCAAGAAAGTGAGCTAAAAATGGGAAGACAATTGTCTCCTGTACTGCAAGTGTGCCAAACAGATTGGAAAGCGACAACAGACAAAGGTCACGCTGATCAAGAAAACAAGTAAACGGCGGCAGTCAAAGCTAGGTCACAAAGTTATGGTCCCTAAGCGAGGGCGAGTGCAGGGTCACGTAAGAGTAATATGGCCCATTATAGGGTCGAATTTCAGGTCATCATGGATCAGTTTGTTTCTAGTCCGGTAACGAGCATTTACAATTCTTCTCAGAATCTTATTCTGTACTACCTGAAGTTCGTAGAAATCTGCTTTTGAGGCTGATGCACAGGTTTTCTAAGACTCAGCTTATATACTCTAAAATCTAATTTGTATTCTGGTGAGGAATATGGAAAAAAAATATAGTACAAATTCAAAATCATAATAACTAGTTAGTTTAACATAAGAAACAATGTTTTAGTATAGAACTGTCATTGTAATTGTTCTCACCTTTTTGTAAATAGCAAGATTAATGCTATCCTCGTTAACGAAATGCACGTGGTAGAATCGCTTATTTCCAAAGTCTACTTCCCTTTCTGAATATTTGACGTTGAAATATCGACTAGTTTCACCTGGCAAATAGAAGTCGGCATAAGCCACTTACATTACTACGGCAAGCTTTCGAGTGAATTGCGGTCTATAGCAGCTGATTTTGTGTTTTTGTTTACGGAGATTTTCTGAATTTCCTACGACTGTAAATTTATGCGAAATCTTGAATAAATGGATCATGTTCATTTGCGTAACAAAATTACTAAATTAAAATTTATCTACAAAAAATACAAATAACTTCATAATTATCAAGATACTTCATTGTTTCGATAAAACATTGAAATCAACTAGACTTTATGACATTAAATATCTTTGTGAGTATGCTAATACGATCTGTTTGCTAAATGCTAAACTACTTTTATTTATTTGTTACGTATGAAAATATTTTCTGATTTTTTTACATAATTCTTACTTCTTTAATGTCTTAAGAATTTTCATAAATGCTTGTGCAACATTTGAGTCTTGGGTTTCATGAAGGAAAGAAAAATAGCCCATATGATCTCAGAATAAGCATTTTGTTGGTCATAGATTTTTATGTTTAGCAGTAAAAAATTGCATTTAAAGGCTATGTGTGTGCATTTTTTGATGATATTAGCATAAATGTGTTTAAAGTACAGGGAAGGCTCAGAAAATGCTGGATAGATGATCAAATAAAAATATAATTTACGGTAGAAAAGTTAAAGGAATGGAAAAAGAAATTTCTGATCTAAAATTTTAAGAACAGTCATATTATTTATTATCAGCTTGAATATCGGAAGCCTTTGTTTAATATTATGTAAAATTTTGAAGGAAAAATATGTGATTGATCTTCAGAAGATATACTAGGTGATTTGGACAATGACAGTTTTTATAAGAATAAAGGTTGCTCATTGATAACCTGAATATGATCAGCGGCATTCTAAAAGTTTCGAGGTAAGAATTTGACATACACATACAACAAACTTCGCCAGATGCAGTTTTATGTCTTAAGACACATATTTATAAGCACTTTTTACTAACTTAAAAAATATATTTCATAATTTAAGTTACAGTGAACCTATTTAATGTTAACATTATGAACTTCATAGCTATTTTTAATGAAGATTCCGTAGTTGCAAATTTAAGACATCAAAAGAGAACTTATTTTATGCCATCCAAACGGGAGAGTGGTTAGCGACTCTGACTACCGTACCGAAGGACCCGGGCTCGAATTCCCGCAGTTGCGGCATGGGGGCACTCCAAATACATGGCAAGCCGAAAGTCCTGTCGTGTGGATTGGTACTGGGGAA